GGCCATCCTCGCGCTGATGCGGGGACAGTGCTCGGCCGACCGGCGGCGTCACCACGGTGTCCCCAAAAGCATCTCGTGCTGGCCTGCTGCCCGGGTGTCACGTGGAGCCCTCGGAGGGGACCCTGCGAGCCCAGAGAAAATCTCCTGCCCCACTCCAGACGCAAAAAATTCCTGGAATGCCCAAACAGTATATTTTTAAGCCCAAATCAGTATTTTTTTTAATTATTTTTTTTCCCCTTAGCCCTCGTGGGCCACAAAAAAAAGCAAGTTTTCACTTTTATGCTGCGTATTGGTGCTCACAACCTCACGAGCATTTGTCTTCCTCTTGCAGCTCCCCAGGGAGAGGCACGGGGGGAGCTCCCCGTTGGGGGGCTCACAGCTGGGACCCCAAGTTTAACCCCTCTTTTCTTATTTTCTTCCCCCTTTTCCTGCAGATGACAGCTCGTCTGATGCTCGCTGTAGGAGGAGCAGTGCTGGGTTCCTTGCAATTTGGCTACAACACCGGCGTCATCAACGCCCCGCAAAAGGTAAGCGTGCGCCGAGCCACCTCGCCGTCGCAAAACTCCCCTCCCCCTGTGCCCGAAAACAAACTCGTATCCGCCGCCAGCCCGGCTAAAATAGTACATCCCGCTAGGCAGCTTACTGCCTGTAATGGGATTTGCGAGGGAATTATTTAGCTCCCGCCTTCCCAGGAGAATTAGTTTCCTCCTCGCTTAGTGTTTTTGTCAGGAAAAATCCCAGGAACGCGTGCAGGATGCTCTCTGGGTGGGACTGGTGTAACTTTTAACCTCGTTTCTTAGCGAAGGTCTGGGAGCTAATTAGGGTTTGAGTCATCTCCAAGCTGGGGAATGACCGCTCCGGTGGGAGCTTTGCATCCCGGTGCGTCGCGGGCAGGACGTCCCCGGGAGGAGAGCGGGTGGGCTGGGGCAGGCTGCGCGCGAAGGCGGATGGAGAGCGGGAGGTGTTCGCTCCTTCGCACGGTGCCAGGACCCTCCAGCACCTGCTGGCTGCGTGGGAGCCTTGAAAAACCTGACTTTCCCCAAGTTACGTGGCTTTTTGAGGTGTTGAAGGCTTGGAGATGTTAGCTGAGAAATCCCGTGTGGTGCTTGCGACGTGCTCTGGGTAAAGCGTGAGTGCCAGGGCAAGGTGTCGAAGGACAAACCGGGGTGCGGCTGCTGCTGCGCGAGAGCAGAGCCTGTCCCTGAGCATCACCTCATAATTAGAACCACGCTGTGAGATTATTAATCCCGTTACCAGTGAATGGGCTGCAAAATCTCACCTTGAGCACCGAAAAAGCTCCTTGTGGGAGAGAAGACCCTGTGCAAAATCTTCCCAGACCCCCATCAGTGTGGAAAGAGCAAAAAAGCAGCAGATTGCCTTCACGGGAGGCGTTGCATTAAATGGTGTTCAATGGCGGCGAGTGGGCTGAGCAGGATTTCACGGGCTGGAGGCTGCGGCTCCCGTCCAGCACCTTCCGTGCTTGCACCCATGGCCACGGTGCACGCATCTGTGCCAAAGACATCGCCCTGCTGAAAAAATCCCAACCCGTCCTCGCCTTCCCCTGGACTGATCTGCGCTGGTGACGTTCGTGCTCGGCTGGCGCGAGCATCACCTCCCGGACAGGCAACGGGAGCGGCGTTCGAACCAGCAGTGAGCTGGGAGATCCCTGGAAGCGCGCTGAGGAGCAGCCGTCTGGCGCCTGCCCTCGTTCTTCGCCGAGCTCCGGCACAGCGGGGAGCAGGCTCTGTAACGACCGCCTTGCCTGGAGCCCGGCCCCTGCATCCCGGTCGTGTGACGTTTCCCTGCAGCTGAAGGGCTTTGCCCGTCCTCTCCCGCTGCTCGGGGTGACGCGGGCAGGGGCCTGAGCTGCAGTCTGCCCTGGGTTCCTCAGACCCCCAGCAAAGCGAGATTCCCCCCCGCAATGGGTGCTGCCTAGGTTTCCCTCATGTTTTTTAGGATCAAGCCCTCGGGGCTGAGGCCAGGGATGGGCTGTGCGTTTCAGGGGCGAGTCACCCAGCGAGCGACGCTGTGTTTGGGTTGCAGAGCTGGCGGGGGAAAGGGTTTGGGGTGTGCAGGGGCACAAGGGGAGGCGGGACGGGTGTTGTCCTGGGGAGCAGGGTGCTCTGGGCACAGGGGTTCATCCCACCTTTGAGGGTGGGGATGCGCTGGGTGCGGGGTCGGGGATGCATCAGGGCACGGGATTGGGGGGCAGCGAAGTTGAATGGGGAAGCATTGGGGTGCAGGATGGGGATGCATTGGGATTGGGATGCACTGGGATAAACTGGGGCACAGGATTAGGGTTGGGATGCAGGATGGAGATGCATTGGGATGCATTGGGGCGCAGGATGAGGATGCACTGGGATAAACTGGGGTGCAGGATTGGGGTTGGGATGCAGGATGGGGATGCATTGTGACTGGGATGCATCGGGGTGCAGGGTGAGGATGCACTGGGATAAACTGGGGCGCAGGATTGGGGTTGGGATGCAGGATGGGGATGCAGTGGGATTGGGATGCATCGGGGCGCAGGGTGAGGATGCACTGGGATAAACTGGGGCGCAGGATTGGGGTTGGGATGCAGGATGGGGATGCAGTGGGATTGGGATGCATCGGGGTGCAGGATGAGGATGCACTGGGATAAACTGGGGCGCAGGATTGGGGTTGGGGATGCAGGATGGGGATGCAGTGGGGTGCAAGATGAGGATACTTCAGGATAAAGTGGGGCACGGGGCGGGAATGCGTTGGGGCGCAGGGTGGGGATGCGTTGGGGTGCATCGGTGCGCAGGGCGGGGATGCATCGTTCCCCTGGCTTCAGCGAGGCAGAGGCAGCAGTGTTTGCTGGCCGCAGCTCCCCGTGGCTGCGCAGAACGGCCCTCAGCCCCCCGCGGGAGAAAGGAGCCTGTCTCGTGGTCCTCTTTGAGACAGCGGCTCGGTGTTTGTGGGGTGTTTGCAGATGGGATGGGGGGGGAGAGAGTGGAGGCTTTGGGGAAAGCAGGGAGGAATTTAGGCCACTGCAGGGTTTGGTGGGGTGCGTGCAGAGAAAAAAATATATATATACATTATTGGAATTTATAGCGGAGCACAGGGGTGTATTTCTTGCGCTGCCTCTGCCAGGGGCTCTCGTTTGTGCTTGAAGCGATGGGAAAACTGGAAACCGACGGGGGACTGTGCGGGCGCTGAACGGGGAGCTGAGCACATGCGAAACCCTTCGAAGCAGCGAGGCCTCCGCGTCCGGCAGCGCCTGCCCCTGCTTGCGCGAAACACACCTCCGGTCCTCCTGGCCGGGGTTGGCTGGGTGTGTTGTCAAGCCCTTTGCTTTTTCGTTTTGGGCGTGGGTGACCCTTAAATAACTTGAAGCTTTCGGCAATGGGCTGGCTTGAAAAATATATTTAAAATATATATATATGAAAAATGTAAAGGATGTAAAAAAGGGTGTTCTGCGAAGACAGTAATTACAAACCAGTGCCTTGCCTGGATGTTAGCAGTGCAGTATGGCAGAATTCTAGCAGAAATATTGTGCTATGGAAGCATTGCGGGAAAAATCCTAGAAATTAGGCTCAAGGGAGCGTCCAAGGCAGTGGGAATTGATCTCACCCGCTTCCAGCTGCTCGGGTGACCCTGCTGTCTTCCTCACCTTCCTCCTCCATCTCTGTTGTGTTTCAGCTGCCGGGGATGGAGCTGTCCCTTGCTGCCTCCCGTGCCCTGGGTAGGAGTGTGACCTCCCCACGGCTGCCCGGCGAGGCGAAAGAGGTATTTTGGCAAGGCCAAGCCTCTCTCTGCAGGGCAAGACCAGAACCCGTCTGGCTGCATTTCCCCGGCGCATCCCATCAGGTTTTCTCCCTGGGGCTGGAGCCGAGCCACCGGCCCGGCGGGTGGGGGGGGCCCCGGCCCCGGGCTTTTTTTATCTGGTGAGCTGCGCGTGCCGGCCAGGGGTCTGTAGGCGGCCGGGCTGAGGCCGGGCAATTCGTAACACCGGTGGCACAGATGGAATGGGGATGGCTTTAACCCGTGGCTTTGCTTCTCCCCCGTCTTTCACAGGTGATTGAGGACTTCTACAACCGTACCTGGCTGTACCGATACGACGAGCCCATCAGCCCTGCCACCCTCACCACGCTGTGGTCCCTCTCCGTCGCCATCTTCTCCGTCGGAGGGATGATTGGGTCCTTTTCCGTGGGGCTCTTTGTCAATCGCTTCGGCCGGTGAGCACCGAGCGTGGTGGGCCCCAACGGGAGGGTCGCGCAGCCTCACCCCACCCCAACATCGCAGAGGGGTGGCTTTGGCTTTGGGCAGCTCTCTCCTGCCAAGAGCCAATGTCTGGGTTCTCCTGACACCCCCCTTCAGCCTCTCTGACCCCCATGGTCCTCCTCACCCTCCTCCCTTCCCTCCCCAGGCGCAACTCCATGCTGATGTCCAACATTCTCGCCTTCGTGTCTGCCATCCTCATGGGCTTCTCCAAGATGGCTTTCTCCTTCGAGATGCTCATCCTCGGCCGTTTCATCATTGGCCTCTACTCCGGCCTCACCACCGGTTTTGTCCCCATGTACGTGGGTGAAGTGTCGCCCACCTCTCTGCGGGGTGCGCTGGGGACCTTCCACCAGCTCGGCATCGTCGTGGGCATCCTCATCGCGCAGGTAAGTGCCGGAGAACCGGCTGGGGCAGGGGGCTTCCCCCATCTTTGGTGCTCATGCTCATCAGGGTCTGCAGGGGATGGGGTTTAACGCAGTCTAGGGTGGAGCCGGGGCTGGAGGGATGGACCTGGATCTCGGCAGGA